GATATGCAATCTACATTCATCAATCCAAAACATTTTATTCATTATTTTTATGTAGTGATTGAATCTCCATAATAAATATTTTTATTGAAGTGGGATAATTTTGTGATTAGAGTAAACAATAGTAGTTAATTGTTGGAAAGCATATTTTTTTGTGTGTTCGACACTCTACTCTATCACTATATTTATTATTTGATCTGGCACGTATACTTATGTATATTTAGTGGAGTTTGTTAATTTATATCAAATAAAACCTAAGCATTATTTAGAAAAAATATATTTTTAAGTACATATTTTTATAATTTAGAATTACACTCTACCGCAGCCCCTTCCCCATCAATATCTCCACCTAAAAACTTGCCCCACAACTTCACATGCCCTAAAGTCATCTCATTTAAGTCACGCACAATAATCAACCTAACATCCCATACATTTCGTTAAAAACCTTATGTCAAAACATCACTTGCAACAATGATCTCTTTATAAAAATTGTGTCTTAACCTCACTTATAGGTTATACCATAATAATCTCCTTCTAACCCTACAATCCAATCTTGCTTGTGTCATTTCCCTCTCCTTTAAGATCTACATTGTAACCTCACTAACAAGGTAACACCATAATAATAATTGGCTCCAAACATGTGTCATAATCTTTTTATTATTGTAGCTATCTATTTTTTAGACTCACACCACAAATTTTATTATCTCATAAATGTCAGCTTCTCAAAAACAAAATTACAACCTTCCTTATCATGCCTATCACTTTTTAAACCTCACCACAACTTTGTTTTTGTCACATTGCCAACTTCAAAACCTGCATTGGAATCTCAGATACATTGCCATCCCTTTTTGTATCTATTTTTAGATGATTATTTACTTGATACTCATGGTATGTATGTTTGTGCATGCTATATACTTTTCAATATTTTTAATTTCATATACATCAAATTTTATTTATGGACCATCTAGTTGCATTGATAATCTCAACCTCAAATTAATATTTTGGAGTGCAAGAGCAAGGAGGGAAATCAACAGTTGATTGGACACTTCAAAGAGCATTTGAATGAATAACCATGATTACGGCAGCACCCTTTGAACACTTAGGGTATAAAAAATAGAACAACATGGGCGTTGACACCATTATAGGTGCTACAATGCTTGAGTCTCCAATTTGTTAGCACCACATTGCTGAATGTGGTGCTGAATAGTGAAATCACAACTTTACCACATTAACCCAAAAAATATCCATATTTGAAGTGGTTTGAGAGAAATTTCGTTATTCAAATTAAGACTTTCAAGAACTATTTATGTACAAATTATTAAGAGTTTGATAGAGTTTTGGTTGAACTCTAGAGAGGAGAAAAAGAGGAAACATCTTCAACAAATTATAGAGTGAAGAGATTTATCCTTATATTCAATTTTTTTGCAATGAGTTTATTTCTGTAGAATGTTCTAACACTTATTTTACGGGTGGATCCGTTGAAATCTTATTTTGATTATGAATATCAATTTTATTTTAATTTGATCTATTGAAAATTTTTATTCAAGTTTATTTTAATGTATATTTAATCAATTTTCATTGTTCTTTTACTTGCTTGGCCGCCAATGTATTATTTTAATAAAAACAATAGATAACAAACGATTTGTTTGAAATCTGCGTTGCAGCTGTGTGATGTTTGATATTCCTACAATCATTTTAGTTCTCTTTCCATTCAAAAAGTTAGCAAAATTTCATTATCCAAATAAATATTTCAATAATCTATTTCTAATATTTAGTATAGATCTATTTTTAGTGGACATTAGATATCTCCGCCTAAAAACTTGCCCCACAACTTCATATGCACTAAAGTCATCTCATTTAAGACTTCATTTGGGACGATTTTTTGATTGCTTACTAAAGCGACTTTTTAGTATAAAAATAAGTTTGAGAGAAGATAAAAAAGAATGCAATATCTTCATGGAGCAAAGAGATTTATCTTTGATTTTCTTCTACATTTTCTATTTATCCTTATATTCAACATTTTTTCCAATGAGCTTTTTTCTCTAGTATGTTCTAACACTTATTTCAGGGGAAGATCAGTTGAAATCTTAAGTTTGTTATGAATATCAATTTATTTTAATTTGTTATATTCAAGTTTTATCCTGTATATTTTAAATAATTTCATTGTTATTGTACTTGCTTGCCTGCCAATTATTATATAAAGATTTATTTGAAAACAAGAGATGACAAACGATTTATTTACATAGGGAAACTTGCATGCCATTTAGTTAACAATAACATTGAGCCAATGAATGATGACAAGAGATGCCCTATCCCAATGCCAATATGAGGATTTATATAAATAGTACTAAAAGTAATCTATTTGTACATCTAACACCCGCTTCTTTCTATTTACCTATATAGCATCCTAATTTATCTATCACTCAACCCCTTCTCCCTTTCATCTTTACATGCCTTCATTTCATCATCTTCTTCGTCCCCCATCACCCTACCCAACTGCCCTCGTCTTCTTCCTCCCCCATCACCCTAGCCAGCTATCATGACAACTATGGCAACAACAACATCTCTTTCCCCTTCTGCGTCAAAAGCAACTCGCTTGTGCGGCTTTTTCATCACCATCAACAACTCTCCCATGTTCATCGTCGCCACCATCTCTGATGACATCGAGCTCTCATCCATCACTATCAAATGTTTTCTGCATTTTAGGAGTAGTTGATAAATTAACAAAGGAGTGATATTTGATATTTTATTGTTATTTAAATATTGGGATTTTAACATACCTAACACCCAAAACATCTCTATTTACTTATCTCACACATAAACTTTAGTTTTTACTCTTTTACCACCATAATGATCTAATCCTCATCAAATATAACACTCCGTCTGTTCTAGTCAAAATCAAGTCGTGAAAATAGCCTTTCACACCTAGGAAACATCTCTGAGAAGCTCTCTGGGGTTGCGTCTTCTCCAAATACAATCTCCATTTTGAGAAACAGAGCAGCTCCCCTTCTCTCCTTCCCATTGGACCGAAGCCGGTGCAAACATCCCGCCCAGTTGGAGTTGCTCAATCGACCGTTGCAGAAAAGAAGCATGAAATAGCAGAGGAAGACAAAGATCCATATATTGGAAATGAAATAGAAAGCCACAACCAAATAACACTAACAAGAACCATACCATCAAGAACATCCTACGATTCAATCAAACATCTTATGCTTCCTTGTTGCTTGAAGACATCCAATACCAATAGTAGCAACATCACAGAGCCTTCTCCCTCCCAAGTTGCATCTCCAAGGCCTGCTCCATCCTCGATGTCGTCGCCGATCTCAATTCCTCTTTTTCCGAATGCAGGAGCTATGAAGCAAACCAATCTTGCAACAATTGTGGGTTTTCTAGTGAGGGACATGAGGTGGGTTGAAACTCTCTGGGTTTTCAAGTGAGGGACATAAGGTGGAGCCCCAGGAATTTGCTAGGAGCAATAGCTTCGAAGGGAAACCGTGGTCATCCATGTGGGAGATGAATTCAATTGATTCAATCGGAGGAACATCGATGACTGATAACATAAAAGACGTGGAGGATGAAGTTGGCCAACCAGAAAATCAGCAGCAACAAAAGTCGTGGCAGAGATCAAGAGCTCCTTCCAGCAGAAAAAATCTCACTGCACCGAAGAAATGTAAAAGATGAAGACAAACCTTCTCTCACGATGAAGACGTGACGGGTCGGGGTAACTGAGTTATAATTTTGATGAAACAGGGTATATTTGAGTGGTAGGTGTGTAAATAATATATTTTGGGTGTTAGATAAATAAATATAAAAGTTTGAAGTGTTATGCATGTAAAAATCCCTTAAATATTAGGATGATACGTAGACATTTGAATAATATGTCTGCAAATCTCCATCAAAAACAGATGAAAGAGCATGTAATTCCACATAACATGTAAAAAATGAATCTGTTTCGCTTAACATTCAAAACATGATTCTATTTACCTTGAAATGAAAACAAAGCATATCAAAATCAACACAAAAACAAATCTAAAGCAAAATGATACCCACTCTATGTTGAATGCAGTTCTGCAATTAAGGAAAGGAGTGTAATGAAACGAGATGATTCAGCAAACTCCATGAAGCACAATATTTTTATTTTTAACATGTCCAGCAATTAAGAAGAATTGTCACTCCATATACTTACCGGTGCCGAAAAGCTCTATGATACTGCATATTATAATATATCATGCACATCTTTACCTATAATTTTTTTTTTTAGGATATTTAGGCCAATTAATGCAAACTCACACACACGTCACATACGTAAGACTCGAATTCAAGAACTCTTGATCGATAGTCAAATCTTCCAACCAACGGATTGAGACATGCCGCGCATAAAGAGCCAGCAATAAATGCCTTGACATCATACTAAGGGGATGTTTGGTGGCAGGATTTAGGCCAGATTTGAGGCGGATTTGAGCGAAATCCAGCCAAACGGCCTAAAATGCTAAACAAAATCTCATGGCAAATGAAAGCCACTGTAGACGAAAAATTCCGCCCTTTCGGGCTAAATTCCGGATTTCTGAAATCATGCTTTTGCCGGATTTTAAATATGTTGGTTGGAGAAGAAGAGCCCACTCATTAAATCCATTCTTTAGCCAAACAATTACACAGAATTTAATAGGATTTATAATGATGATTTATAATGATGATTTATAATGAATATTACCAAACAGTCTTCAGGATTTAGGCCTCTCAGGATTTCCAAAATCCGGATTTAGCGGATTTATGCCAAACAGCCCCTAAGTCAGAAACAACCCTTTGACAGACGGAGATCAAAGAATAACTTACAGAAGTTTCGATTTGATCTCAGATGTATACTTTCCTCCAGTTATACTCATGCAGTTTAGTTTGTTTTGAAAGAAAACTCGGCAATGGCATATCCATTAACTTCCAAAAATTATACGAAGCATCACAATTGACTGAATCTCAGCTATATTATCACACTAAAAGCATCTAAATGCAAAGTAACTTTTAATTTTTCATTCAACCTGCATCGTAAACAGACAAAATCCCTGAAAGCAACTGTAGAAGGAAGCCAACAAGAAGAAAGTTGGATAAAAATAGAACTAGGAAAACAAAATCTTGCATCTCAAACAAGTACTGCAGCATGAACTGCATGACCTAACAAGCTTACATGTACCAACTACTAACAGCATGAACAGCATGCCAAACATTGATTGATCGATCTAGATGTTTGACGACATAAATAAGTGCATCTGATTACCTAGCATAGATGAAAACTACTAGCCTAATAAAGTGTTCTTCCATCTCCTTCAGTGATCACATCTTTAAATGCACCTCCACTTGGGATCATGGGTAAGACATGCTCCTGGTGCGGCACAATGATATCCAGTAAGTAAGGACCTGGGGTCTGCAGCATCTCCTTTATAGCTTCTCTCACTTGGCTCTTTTTAGTCACACGAGCTCCAGGTATCTTGAAGCCCTTTGCAATAGCTACAAGATCGGGGTATATCTCTGTCTCATTTGAAGGATCACCCAGGTATGTATGTGCTCTATTGGCCTTGTAAAAACGATCCTCCCACTGAACAACCATGCCTAAATGCTGGTTATTCAACACCATGACCTTTACAGGAAGGTTCTCTATATGAATCATCGCCAGCTCCTGGATATTCATAAGAAAGCTTCCATCTCCATCAATGTCGACAACGGTAACACCAGGATTTCCAACTGCGGCACCAGCTGCCGCAGGAAGCCCAAAACCCATTGCCCCCAATCCAGCTGAGGACAACCACTGGCGAGGCCTCTTGTACGTGTAGTACTGTGCAGCCCACATCTGGTGCTGTCCAACACCAGTGCTTATGATTGCCTCGCCATTTGTCAGCTCATCGAGCATCTGAATTGCATATTGTGGAGGAATTGCCTCTGCGAATTCCTTGTAGCTCAAGGGATAAGTTTTCTTCTGCTGATCCAGCTCCTCCCTCCATGGGGAAAAGTTGAGTTTTTTATCCAAACCTGTTTCCTGAATCAAAGAATTTAAAGCTTCTAGCGACTGCTTCATATCAGCACATATGGATAAATGGGGCTGCTTGTTCTTTCCAATCTCCGCGGGATCAATGTCAATGTGCACAATTTTAGCCCGGCTTGCAAAAGCCTCCAGCTTTCCAGTAACTCTGTCATCAAACCTCACTCCAAATGCAAGAAGAAGGTCGCACTTATCCACAGCATAGTTAGCATACACAGTGCCATGCATTCCAAGCATTTTCAGAGAGAGACCATCGTCGGTAGGGTAGACGCCGAGACCCATCAGTGTACTGGCCACAGGAATCCCCGTAAGCTCAACAAAACGTCGAAGTTCTGGGCTAGCGTTGCCACACCCTCCCCCAACATAGAGAACCGGGCGGCGTGACCCAGACACCACGCGCAACACCTGTTCAATGAAATTCTTTTGAGGAGGTTTCGGGAGACGAGAGAGATAACCTTGAAGACGGAGCGGAGGGTCCCGGCAAGGGACAACGAGCTGCTGCTGAATGTCTTTAGGGATGTCTACAAGAACAGGACCGGGTCGGCCTGATCGCGCTAAAAAAAACGCTTCCTTTATCACACGAGGTATATCCTCGACGTCAAGGACAAGGTAGTTATGCTTGGTGATGGATCGGGTTACCTCGACGATAGGCGTTTCCTGGAACGCGTCGGTGCCGATCATGCGGCGAGGGACCTGGCCCGTGATGGCAACTAGGGGAACAGAATCGAGAAGCGCATCGGCGAGACCGCTGACGAGATTGGTGGCACCGGGGCCGGAAGTGGCGATGCAGACTCCAGGGCGTCCTGTGGAGCGGGCGTAGCCTTCGGCGGCGAAGATCTCGCCTTGTTCGTGGCGGAGGAGGTGGTTAATAATGGACGGGGAACGGGTTAGGGCTTGGTGGATCTCCATGGAAGCGCCACCCGGGTAGGCGAAGACATCTGTAACGCCCTCAAGTTCCAAAGATTCGACGAGGACGTCAGCACCTTTGCGTGGTTCGTTAAAGGAGAAGCGATGGGATGGGGGCGGTAGGGTTGTTGATGGCGGAGGTTCTGTGGAGAATTCAGCGGAGATGGAGCGATGGTGGAGGGAGTGAATGGCAGGAATTGGGAAGGATTGGAAAGGAGTGAGGGTTTTGGGGAACGGGGAAAGAATGCGGGACGACTTGGAGGTAAGCATGTCTTTGTTTCTGGTGGCCGAAAGGTTGAACGCTGCCGTTCCGACCACCGCCGCCGAAGAAGAAGCCATTGGTAGAGAAAGAGCGTCAAAGGCTGTAAGGTAGATTTATGCCGACCTTCGCGGAACGGAATTAGGGGTTAGCAGGCTTTTAAATCGATTGGGCTGTCTGGTCTTCACGTTGGACCCGACAAAAGATTTAAATTTTGAGGTTATTAAGTTTTAAAATTTATTTACTACTATTACACCATCAAATTTTTATCCTACTATTATATGAGGTCAACAAATTTTAAATTTATTTGATATAATAAATATTAAATTCTAATAAATTTTGATAAATTATTTGGCTATGTACTTAAAGATTTAAGTTAGTTAATATAAAGTGAGTAATAAATCATATCATATTAAAGTTGGGTCAACAGTGAACACTTCAGCTATTAATATTCCTTTCTTAGTTTTTAGATTTTTTTTTAAATCTTAATTTTTTTTAAATTGAGCTCTTGTATTCTCATAACTTGAAAAGACTAAGAGCTAATGAGATTTAAGAGTTTATGGCTTCATTTGGAACGATTTTCTTAATGCTTTCTAAAACGATTTTTTAGTATAAAAATTTATGAACTAAAAAGTTTTGTACTAAAAAACTGCTTTAGAAAGCAGTAAGAAAGTTGTCCCAAACAAAATAAACTCTTCTAATATATTCTTTTGTGGATTTAGGCTGTAACAAGCAAATCTTCTATGTTGTCTCCTTTTCATTCTTTTTTCTACTTGTTTCCTTTAAATCTTTTGAAAGTTGAGGTTTACCCTTTGTTAGGGAGTAAGCACACATTAAGGCTCATCATTCCCTCTTTTTGTAAATTAATTATACCCTTAGTTCAATTCAGTCCTCTGCAAAACGTTTTATCATTCATAAAATATTTTTAACATCAATGGATGAGCAACAACTATTTTGGAAGTTGAACGTTCATTAGTAGAAACTATTTCGAATATATTTATAAGTATATAAAAGGCAATAAATGGATTATGAAATAAGACATCAATTTAGAACATTAACGAGGGGTTAAGAATAGATGAAAGGTGACATCAATCATTAAGAAATGTTGGTTAGTGAATGTAAGGAAATAATTGGCATTATGCATTATGAGTATGGTTTCAACATATATTTAGAGTAGGATGTTTGTATAAGTTATTTGAATATAACTATTTGGTGTTATTGATTAGCAAATTCCTTTAATCAATAAAGAGAGACAACGAGCTAGCTTCTAAAGGTGGTCGACTCGATATTATTCTATTATAAAAGGAAATTTTGGCAACTTGGCACAATGACGTTAGATTTTAGTGATTAATAAATATTGGACATCTATTACATGAAGATGTTGAACATTATAGAACATTTGAATTTGAGAAATGCAAGCTATTGAACATTAGGAGTTGATCATCAATGGTTGTGGACAATGCAACACAAGAATGTTAAAATAAAAGAAGTTGATGAGGAATTGAAGGCATTATTTTGTCTAATCAGACGCCATTCTTCATAATTATTACATATTCTATCATAAATACATAATCTTACATGAATTAAATATAGAAACTCATTTTTATAACCTTATTATGTTAATTTATTTTTGTAAATTTATGAAACAACAAGTTGTGATAGATAAAAAATTTGAATGTTTTAGCACAACATTTGCATGTAATTCTTATAAAAATTACTTCAATTTCATGAATGATGACAATGATGCTATGTCATTAGCCCTTGTTGATTTTTTAATAAAATTGGAGGTCACATTTTGAAGTTACATTTGTGCTCATCTTAGTGCAACTCCCCAAACCAATCAAGAAGAGCAGAAGAAATTTATCAAGAAAGGAGTGAGAAAGCATAAAATTTGAATATCTATTATTAATTATGACATCATGTGATAAAGAGATTAAAAAAAATATACAACTCATATGTTTATGGCTTTGTATTTCTATAACTTCTAAGTTTTCTTCAAGGTGTAAAGTGTACATATAGCCATAAAAATCATGGATATATCACACAACTTTCGACATACAAATTGAGATTACTTTTTTCTTCAATATTAGCTTGCGACAAGTTTGTTATCACTTTATTTAACTAGGTTAAGATTACTATCCATCTTTTGGTGAATGTAAGGTAGTTATCCATTTTACTATTTTTATAGTTCTCGTATGTTGATTGTGACCTTCTTCCCCAGTTGTTTAAAGTTAAGGGAGTACTTAATCTATTGATTGATGATGAAGTAAGGTTGTATTTGTTGATACAAATGCTAGGGTGATGGTGTGGTAGCTCTAATAGCTAGCATGACTTGAAAATACACTGCGATTCTTTATTGCTCCTAGTTTATAATATGAAAAGATAATTAAGACATATTTGTATATTTCAATAGGGGTAATTTGGTCGTTATTATAAAACAATCAATAATAATAGTCATACTAGGTCATATATAACTAAAAAAAAAAAGATCGAATCGTTTTGCTTTAAGATTCAACATTGGCTGGGCTGGTGAGGGCAGTTGTTGTAACAACCTAAAAGTTTAAAATAAACTTATTTAAAAATATGAAAATTTTGGGTTGGGCATAGCGACTGATGAGCGTTGGGGCGTCAAAATTCGATGCGGCAAAGCCAATGCTCTTTGGTTTACATTAATTATAAGATGAGCACACGATGCTGTGACGTCAGGTTGAAGCGTCACGGTGCTAGGCACTGAAAAAATTATATCATCCACTTAGCCCTCCCTGGCCCGAACAATTATTACGTCCTCCGACCGGATGCAGAGGAACATCCTATATATATTAAAATTACAAATCAACTTTATTATTCAATATTCCCTTAACTTTCGCATTAAGGCCTAAACTATTACATAAATGCAATTATATATATATATATTAATTTTCACATTGGGGCCTAAACTATTCCACAAATTTTTTTTGCCCATTGTGACATTATAGTAATTATTAAGTATTAAATAATAAAACTAAAATATTTAAATTGGAAAAGAAGAGGACCTGTCATCTTTGAATTCTCCTCTAATTTCAACATGCGATTTAAATTTAAATTTGAAGGATTCAAAAGAATAAGCCGCACATATCTTCTACCCATTTTATATAAAATTTTTAACCCTAAAGAGAGCTTAGCTAAGCAAAAATTTAACATAAAAAAAACCTACAAAACCACTTTGTAAATCACAAATATTTACTTCTCTAAGCAAAATACGCAATAATCAACATAAATCTAACTAATTTAACATAAAAAATGCATAAAATAACTTCACATTACCTGATCCCGACAACGAAGAGGCGGAGCAGCAAGCAGATCTCGAAATGTCGAAGAGGGAGAATAACTGATCGGGAAAGGGAAAGGTGAATAAATTACTTAAGTCTAAGTCGCCCCTAAACTGGGCGACTTATAAGTTGCCCGTTAATCGGGCGACTTAGACTTAAGTCTTCAATTCGCCACGTCAGCTGCCACGGTGTCGTTTGGTCGCACCTAAGTCGCCTTTAAAACGACCGACTTTGTCTATAATTAATTTTTTTAACAATCATGCTTAATCTTATAGTATAATTATTAATGTTGCTTAGTTCGAAAATTTGCCCTTTTTAATGTGGTTCTTTTTTTCATGCCACGTGGCATACAAAGTGGGGGAGACAAGATTTATTTCCATTTGTTTTATCGCAAATAGCTGCAGCGCGCCAAAATCCACGCCATTTCGAAACAAACAAAAACCTAGAAAAACTTCTCTGCTCATCTTCTACTCGAGTTGTGTAAACTGCGCCCCGTTCTGTTTTCCCTTATGCAGCCCTAGTCATCCTCAAGAATTATCCAACATCTCCTTCAATGGGAAAGAGACTGCGCTCCTCTGTTCAATCTTCTGCTGAAGAGCTACTTTACTCTGCGGCTTCTAAGATCTCCACCAAAACTGGAAAATCCGAAATAAAAAACCTAATATGGAGCGCCGGTCCCTCTTCCGATCTCGTCTCCTCCCTTCCCCCCGCTTTACACCTCACTGTCTGCCAGGCCCTGGAATCTTTCAAGCAATCCCTCGAAAATGGCGGTGATGTGGACGCCGCTTCCGTCGGGGACACCAAATCTTCTCCCTCACCCGTGCTGAAGAAATTTAGACGCTCTGTAAGGCTTAAAAGATTAGATGGTCCTGATGGCGAGGAAGCGCATCCAAAGCCTGGCTCCCAGACCCTAGATATTCAAAAGAAGCTCCGAGCCTACGCGTACGTGGCTCACATTTGCGTTTCTCATCCGAAGAAACTCTTCTCCCCGTCTGATCTACTTCCTCCTGTGCAGATTCTTCATGACAACCTTGTTCTGTTTGATGATCCCTCCCTTCTTTCTGAAGTCGCTAATCTATGTGAAGTGTGGTGGAAGGATAACTTGCCTGAGAGGGAGAATCTAATAAACCAGTCCCTCCCTTTCCTGCTGTCGAAATCTCTAACCTACGGCAAGAAGACTGATGTTCATAGGATTTTTGCTCTTCGTGAGGCCTTTTCTTTATTTGATTACGAGGATGAGAGCATTGAAGACCTGAGACTTTTGCTAGTTCGATGCGTGATCACCCCAGTGTATTTAAAGACAAAGGATGGAAGGAGTTTCATTGCTTTCATGGTGGGATTAAATGGCCTTCTTTTAAAGGAGTCGCTTGCATTAATTAGATCTCAAATTCCTTTTGGAAAAAAATCAGTCCTCGAGGGCTATGCTGATATCATTTTTAAGGCTTGGAGGGGATCAGAAGCATCTGTGAAAGAAGAAATTGAGGATGGTTTTTTGCAGGGGCTTATGGACGGGGCTATACATGCACAGAAGAAGCTGTTTGCTGCTTCTATTAGAAGAGTATTGAACGGGTTTATTGGTCAGAGGACGACGCCAGGTGTTGACAAGGTCCTGTTCCGTCTGGCTGAGCCCTTGTTATTCCGTTCACTGCAGGTAAATTTAGCTTGCTTTTATTAATTTTCCCTTGTTGCCTCACCGTAGAATCGTAACATATAGTAAATAGGCTTTTTTTTACTAAGTGCCAATGCTACAATGATTTCTTAAGTATTAACGGTTCACAGGCTTTCTTAATATTGTTAAAAGTACAATTCTTGCTCTTTCTTTGCTTATGAGCACGGAGGTGGAGAGATTTATTTCTTAGTTGAAGTTTTTTTTTTTGGGAAGGAAATCTTGCTGACAAGTGCTTCCATAGAACAACAAGAGTCCACAAGCAACCCTTCGCTTCGAATTCACTCTTGGTGTTGAATGCCCTTTTTATGGACAACTCTTTGTCATGAATTAGATCTTCAAGAACATGAAAGTTCATCTTTTTGTCTGAGTCACAGGAACATTCAAAACATAACATATTTATTCATCCATACAACAAGTGCTATACATTAAAAGAGATTCACTATTTATAGGAATAAGAGTAAGAGACACTAAAATAAATATTCAAACCTACTATCATATTTACACCCACTACTATTTTCATATATATCGGGAAATCCGCCATCATTTTCATGTATATCATCGAACCTGATGATATAAAGATCCAACATAGCTCACAACATAACAAATGCTCCAACACACCGACCCATCATTCCTCAATTACATGCTATTGACTCTCTTCTTTTGATGATATCCTTAAACATAATCTATGATTCACAAATTAATTAAAAAAAAAACTCCTTCATTATCATCCCCATATTTGAGGAATTCAATATATGCCACTTCCATACCGGTGTGAGATATTTTGAGTCATCTTAACGATATATTTGTTATAATATTGACCCTTTGTGGGTTGGTATTATTCTTAAATTTGTCACCCTTCATAAATTATTGCGGAGGGTGGTTGGTTGTTACTTCAAATTTTGAGGGAAAAATTGCTTTATTTTTTATCTACATATATTTTTAATATTTTTTAGGAAATTGGGCCCCATAATGGTTCGTTTTGGAGCTTGAGGTGCTTTTTTGTAATAAGAACAATTATGGTTGAGATTATTAATTAATGTCACCATCGGGATATGATGTTTGCATCATTTGTATTTGCAAATCGAAATCTTGATTTGAAAATAGACTCATTCAGTTATGATGTGCAAGTGGCCAAACCCATCGTAGGGGTACTCTTGCATTATTGAGCTTTGCTACCTTGAATCTTATTAACTCGGGAGGATCAATTTTTTAGTTTGCATATAATTTGAATTTATTTGGATAATTGTTATATTATAGAACTTTTCTTCTCTGCCCTGTGTATAAGTATCATGTCTCAGCTTTAGCCTCTGACCATGTTCTATTGGTTTGAAATTGAGTTTACTTTTTGGTTTTTTAAAGTTCTTTTTTTTTTTATAGGATTTCTTGAAGTACTTACGTGGAAAATGTGAAATAAACATTTAATAATATTAAGCTTATTGTGTCGATTTGTCATGGGGTTTAAGTCTTGTCGGCTCCAACCTTTGGAATGTGGAGGGTTGGACTTGAAAGTGGACTTATGATCCTAACCAATAGGTAGGGAGACTTGCTAGAGAGCATTGTGAAAAATGTTAATGATTTTGAGCTTGAAAGGAGAGTCTGCATGATTTTAATTTGATTGCACTCTACTTTGAAGCGGGGTGAATTCGAGCCCAATTTACTTTCAGTTAGCACAACATTCTTAGACTATTACTTGGAATGTTTTGCATATTTATTAGACCATGTGCAAACTTTTTGCTTTTGTTATGCTTGTAGAATTTTTAGCGCATTGGCATGCTTTTCAATATACTTGTACATTGCCCTTGCATGGTTTTCATCGCATTCACATAATGCAGTTGGCACCTTTTTTAATGTGCTATTATGGTTCCCTTGCATGATTTTTATTGCACTTGTTTGATCCACTTGTTTTTTGGCGGGCCTTTATTAATGTGTTTGCATGAATTTTGACACATTTGCTTGATTTTCGAGACATTTTAATTGAGTTTGAAAATTGCCTCTTGAGACGTACAAGACTTGAAATTTTCCGGGTTTTTGTTGATTGCATGAATGTGTATTGTTAAGATGAGTGCTATATTTCATTTTGAATTTTTAAGTAATCCCTTTGTTAGTTTGCATGTTTTTGTTGCTGATTTGGCGTCGTTTGACACAATTTAGAATCTAACATGTGTTTCATATTATCCTTTTTGTTGTCTTTGTATTGTTGGAGTATGGTATAGTGGGCCTCGTAGGGATTTTTTTAACCTCCTATTAAATAGGAGGGGTTAGTCTGGTAATTTTCATATGATTTTAGTTTCTTTTAGTTCATTGTGTGAGTTATTGAAAATTCTGAGTTTGCATGAGAAGGGATCTTGTCCATTTTACACGTATGCAAGTTGTTGTGCTTATTTTAAATTCCCTATAAGTCCTTTTAAGCTCAATCTTGTTCTCATTTTTGTAACTTCATTTTATTTTATAAAATTTCTTTTATTTAATGATTTTTTTTTTTTGGTTTCCTTATTTTTTGATTTGTTTCATGTTCATCATCCGTTTATGTTCATTTGTCCCTTGCATGTTCTTTTCAAGTTTGTTCAATCCAAATTCTTGTAGCCTCGTAGCATATCCCCTGCGTAAGAGGCATTTACATGAAGTCTAGGTTTGCTCTTCACGCGAGGAAAGAAGTGCATAGTCAGTCTTGAGGCATCAAGGTCGGTTGTCTTCTATCCTACTATGCCAAAGCATGGGTTTCCATGTACATGCATGAAAGCTAGCAATATGGGATTTTCTCATTGCATTGGAACAACACACATGTGTACTTATCTAGCTATTTTGCTAAGAAAATCATATATGATTCTTCTCTCAACAGTGCTATGAAAAATGTGTTTGGTTCACTTACATGAGATAGTTCACGATGCAATATTTGTCCTCTTCATGCTAAGAAAAATACGCACATGGCTTGTATTACGAGTGTAGCCTACAAGTTTCCCTTGCATTATTAAGAAAAGTGCACACAGGTTCTGCTAGTTGCGCCAAATGCATTATACAGGATTTTGAGAGTTTTAAGTGTTGCATTCTGCACCTTACACATGAGGTGTTGTTGTCCACGATGCAAGGTGACAAGGAATTTCTGAAATGAGAGACAATGCACACACATAGAATATATATATAGGGGTGGCTAGAGTTTGGTCTCCGATAGCTTCATCAGCATTTTCAGTTGTCTTTGGAGGGAAGCCATGGCTTGGTGGCTGAAGGATGCCAGTTTGGTGTTTAGGAGATAATTTGTAGGTGGCTGTTGGCATAAAGAGAAAGGAAGCATCGCCATCAAGAGGTTGTGAAATCAGAGATGCCTTAATGGAGAATGCTATGGCTTCAGTGTTGTGGCATTTTTGTTAGAATTTGGTTTGGTTGTCGATAGATGTGTTGGAGTTCATTGTAGTTAGTTGGAGATTATACCTGATACTTTGGAAGTTGGGTCGTTAGGCTCTGTAAGATGTCGATGATTGCTTATTTGGACTAGGGTGGTTTTTTTGAGAGAAGCAGGAGATGTGCATTTCGCTGACGATAGGCGAGAGGGTGGTGGCTCTAGCAGATGAAGAGGAGTTAGCAGTTTGATTAGCTGCAGCTTGAAGAAGAAGAAGTCAGTGAGTAGAACTAGATGGACATGTGTAAGACAGGGTAGCGGCGAGTGAGACAAGTGATTGGGTTTTGGCTTGTTCTGTTGATATCTTCATTATTTGAATTTATTTATCAAACGTGACCTCATGTGGGAATGGGGAAAGAAATGTCATCATGTGGAGCCTTAAAGTATGGTGAGAGAAATTTATGGAGTTCGACAAAAATTAGGTGGGAATTTTAAATGATTTTAGTTTCTTCTTAAATAATAAATAATATTAATGTTTATATTTATATTAATTTTATATAATTTTTTATGTGTATTAATCTTTTATAATGGATCCTCATTTCTCACGCTTCATGAATTGTGTGTCATCACCTCGTGTGCAGGTCGTTTGTTGTTTTACCTTTGTGCAGTAGATAGGACAATATGAGTGTGTACTTAAGGGTATTTTCAAAGTTCCATATGCATCTTCATAGCCTATTTTGCAGAATTTGAAACTTTTTAGTACTTTTGATGGCAATAATGACGTTTCAAATTAAATTTGTGCCCATTTTTGTTGTTTGGGTTTGACCGAATTAGTCGTGAGAACCGTTTATTGGTAATTTTGATGTTTTGGAAGCTTAAACATAATTCATTTTGTGAAACACGTGACATTTGAATAATATTTGATGTAATTGAGGCATTTTAAATTGGCTTTATGTGATGTTGCGTCCATACTTCATCGTTTTAGCTGGTTTGATTGATCGCATGGATGTTTACTTGGTATTTTTGATTCCCCGAGCATATCATGGAACAGATGATTGTTACATGGTTTTATTCAATGTCACGCCCATCATCATCCATTTTCGTTGTGTATGGTTGAATTGATCACAAGAGTCCTTTTGTTAATAATCTAGATGTTCCAGACACAATGGTGCAAACCGATTTTCAAGATGAGTGATGGCTGAATATTCTTGATATGGTTGAGGCATGCGAAACTGTATTAGTCTTTGTTGCAATCAGTGTGTTTGATTAGATCGACTATGTATTAAATACGAAGGCCAACAATCAGGAGCTTTTGCCTATGTACCTTAGAACAAGGATTAAAACGCCTTGTTTTGGGATAAAAAATCTTTACAATTCACTTCTCATGGCTAAATATTTAAATATATTTTATTTGGGATGTCCCTGTTTGTACAGAAGGGCTCACTCCCGTCTAAGCACGATTGAGCTACGATTCTTTTGGCATTTGCAATTTAAAGTTCCAAGCACACCTCTCGTTCGGTTTAGACAATGATCACAAATTTTATCTTCTATTAGTAATGATTTTCTAACAACTGTGCTATTCTCCTGGAACTGTTGTTAACATTTTTTATTGCATGCAAGGTGTATGCCCCCTTGCATAAGGTGGAAGCTTAGCTGACTTGGTTTTGAGGGTCTTTGTGTTTATTTCAACTCTTATAATGTTCAAATTTAAGCACCATGTTTCTAATTCTTGTCTAAGTCGAGTTAGCATTTTGAAATTTTGTAGCGACATTTTTTGGCTCATGGTGTTTTATAGTCGATGTGAGATTCTTGGTTGGTTCCCCGGAGTCTTTTAGGATTAGCTACTCAAAATTTTTCTGATAATTTTTTTTGGACTTCTACTCAGCTATGAAATGGTGTAGATGAGTTTGTTCATGTACTTCAATTCATGTAGAGCTATTCAGGTCCAATTTATGACTTGATCATGTTTGCACTCTTTTCGGACATCTCCTGTGTAGGCAAGTATTAATATGTTTGATCATGTTTAGAATTTGTATGAGATTTCATACCTTAGTTGGGTTGTTTGATATTTCATTGTAGGAATTGTTTGTATTGAATTTGATCTCATCGATTGAGGTTAATTATTAGATGACTTGTTTACGATAGGGATGTAAGCGAGCCGAGCCGGCACGAGTTCAGCTCGCTAATGAGCTCGTGAGCCGAGCTTATCGAGCTCACGAGTCGAGCTCGAGCTCGTTTAGTAAACGAGCTCGAATTCGAGCTCATTGAGGCTCGGCTCGTGAGCTCATGAGCCAGCTCGAAAATAATATTTTGAGCTAATATTTTTTAATTAGTAATGTTTTTATTATACTTAAAAGTTATAAATTAAGTTTTAGAAAAAAATTAAGTTTGATAAGAATACTCCAAAGCGGCAGCTCTATATAAAAATTCAAAAAAATTTAGAAGTTTTCTCTCAAATATCAATGCTAATAAATGCTGACATCAATGCTAATAAATGCTGACATCAATGCTAATAAATGCTGACAATCTTCTTTTCTTGTAAATAATATAATAACCGGTTATATTCTTTATTCAACGTAAAAAGCAACCTTTTTTTTCTCCTAGTAGTTTCTTCTCTCCACTTGTGCAAAATCGAGTGGTAAAACTGGGCGGGAAAACAAAAAATTGGGCGGTAAAACCGGACGAGCGGCTCAATGAGCTCGTTATAGTATCGCAAGTCGAGCTCGACTCGACTTCGAGCTCGATATTTGACCCGCGAGTCGAGCTCGAACACCCCCTGACTCGAGCTTGACTCGACTCGTTTACACCCCTAGTTTACGACCGGTCAGTGATTTAGAGCTTGATTTTATTTTGTTCGCCTAGGTTGTGAGTTGTTGGATGTTTGCATATGGTTAGTACACATGAATGGGTAGAATTTGAAACCTACTCAAATCTGACTTGATTTTAAGAAATGTAGCCGAGTACTTTGTTCATTGAGTTTGATCATAGAAATCCTAAATCTATAAAATTGTGTTGATTCTCAGTTCCAACACCATATGGGTACCCAAGTACCAACCTGGTATTCGCATTCATAAAGATATACTAATGTATATTGTTTTATGAATATATGGTTACTTGTGATGAAAGCATTAAATTTTTCTGCGATGCAAAGATTCTTGAAAGTACCCTTTTTTTTGTAGTTTCAATGCATGATTTATTTTTTTACGAAATAGGCTAAATACTTGGTTGTTCTTATGTTGTAGAATTGAATACTACATGTTTCCTGAATTTTCAGATCTAAATCTCCTCGATTTCAATTCCAGTCACATACTAATATCAGAAAATTTTTATTTGACTCTTTGATCTCGCCGGGGCTGAGTGAAATCAACTTTAATGGCACTTTTTTTTACCTGTAAGTCTTCATTAGATGATTGCCTGACATACAAACTTTAAGTAACTTTATCATTTACCAACCCGTGCATTACTTTATTTTCATCATGGTTGACTGATTAATAGTTTGACACTAGAATGGCATATTTTATACTGCACCGCATCATATGAAACGTTGTTATAAAATAATGTCAAGATCATTTTGAAATATTCTAGGATGATCATCCCTCTTTTCTCTGCCTCGTCTCTGCTCCTTGAAAATTGACTTAACAATCATGATTTTCTTTTTATTTTGAAGTGATTATATTGTTCTTTGTATTTTCTTTAGTTTTTTTTACATCGTAGGTGATGAATGTTTAATTTTGCTAGCTCTTAATCACATTGATCAATATTTTTCTCCAATGTGCAAGAGGCTTTTTATGAAAATTTCTCCTAAAAGTGAGCAATGATTTATATTTCAACTTTTATTTTGTTTCTCTCTCCATCTTCATTTATAAACATAAATTTGCACATCCAAACACTTCTTTTTGACCCCTTTCTAGTGCCCCATTAATATGATATACTTAAGCTTGGAATTGATTCTGTGGCGTACAACAAATAATTCTGCTATTTTTTTCCATTTGGCAGGTTGCTAACTCCAATGTTCGTGAAAATGCATTGTTTCTACTCTTAGATCTGTTTCCACTCGAAGATCCTGATGCTACAAAAGACATAAAGGATACCTTACTTGAGAAGCAATTTTTCCTATTGCAGAAATTACTTATGGATGATTGCCCTGAGGTGAGAGGAGTGGCAGTTGAAGGCTTATGCCGTATTCTCAATTTATTTTGGGAAGTTATTCCTTCTTTAACAATAACAAAAATATTGGGAAAGATTATTGATGACATGGCAATTGATATGTGCAATGAAGTTAGACTATCTACATTGAATGGAATCATATATTTGCTCGAAAATCCTCAGAGTCATGAAATTATGAAAGTTCTTCTTCCAAAACTAAGTCATGTGCTGTTTGATCCTTCTCTTTCTGTTCGTATTGCTGCTGCTGATTTGCTTTTAGAGGTTATAAATATTCGGTCTTTCCAATTTAACAAGGTATATAACCTAATTGATTTGGCAGTGCTATTTATTTTATTTTCAGTTCTGAATTTTTGGGTTATGTTTGTTATGTAATTTTCCTTTATTCTTCTAGGTTGTCAGTTTAGATTCTTTATTTTCTTCCCTGGCCAATGATCATGAGCGTGTTGCTAGAAAAATAACCAGGCTTCTCATTCCTTCTTACTTTCCTTCAAATCTGGATCCAAAGGAGGCCCGCAGCCGATTTAGTGCACTTATGAGAAGATCTCCAGACGCCGGGGCAAGATTTTGTGAATTTGCTTTATCGGAGGGTTCATCTGCGAAGTCTCTAATGGAACTTCTAAGGTTCTCTCTTGATTTAGTCCTTGCAACAAATGGCACAAGTTCTGATCAGATTGATGGGTTAATTATTGCTTCAGCGAATATATGCTGTTGCTTAGCAGCTGAACTGTCTAATAAGGCCCTTACCAGAATATTTTCAGCTGATAAAGTAAAGAGTTTGCTTAATGCAGCGACATCTTCTAGAGCTCTGACTGCTGTACTAAGCATTGCGTCTATAGTTTCTCCAAATGATTTACATGGATTACATGACCAATGCTTGTTTCTGGCCCTGGAATGTATTGGATTATCAGATGATCTAGAAAGACATGGTTTAATACGAAAAATTCATAGACTATTTTTTTCTTGTGGTTGGCTAGGTGAACTGATTGGAAAGTTAAGCAGCATTTTGCAAAGTATTGCTTCCAGATTTCTTTTGAAGTTTAAACTGGATTTGCCTCCACAGGTTTTGCAGTCTATTAAAAAGAAAATAAAATTACCTGCGAAGAGTTCTTCTAGGTTTGGTGTTCACACTTCAAAAGAATCTATCAAATCTGACAAGTCCAAAACTGAGAAAGATTTGTGTCTTGCAGCAGGAATAGCATGGCAGCTAAAAGATTTGCTTGCAGATGTTTATATGCGAAAGGTTTTGTTTCAATATCCACATTTTGAAATTGCATTCCATTCATTAAAGATAATTTCTCAGGTAAACATTGAAATGTATTTGCGATACAATTCTTTTGACACATCTTCTATCGAAGCCCTTGCAACTTTAGCTGTATACATTCATCTACAAAAAGATGACTTGGTTATGAACGAAGTTCCAGGAAGTAATGCTGATGATGGATCCTGGTGCCTGAATTCTCATGTGAAGGTACGCACTTTTTGAATTAACCTAGTATAGTTTGTAGTTATTACATCCAAGGTAGATGAATTTCACATTTTTGTTATCACTAGTTTATTACAAGACACTGCTAGAATTCAGAGACTATTGAAATAGGAGTTGTTGATCATGATTTTCTAGCAATATTTTTTCAAAAAAAAAAAAAAAGTTAACTTGCTTGATGCCTGCATTTTTTTGTGTAGATTTAAAATTTTTTAAGTAACTTTTATGGGCTAAATTGCACATATATCTTTGAATTAGAGCCATCAATGTTGAAAACAAAAATAAAGTATAAAAAAATCTAAAATGTAAGAACTATGAAGTCCATATTGTATGATCCTTAAAACATATTATATGCTTTGCCCCAAAAGTGTGATCCATGTGGAAAATTCGTGCCCAACTCTTCAATGAGAGCGTATATGGATTAACTTTTTAGAATGCAAATTTGATATTAGGCACTACTAAGAGATTTTATGCTCTTTTTATGAGAAATTTATGATATAGTTAGACGTTTCTCATAGACTTAAACTTATATTGTTGATTATCCCTTATGGCCACGAGAGAAAATTTTCAATTAAAGTAGTCTGCAGGCATTAAATACATAGCTGATATCATCAATAATTATTTTTTGATTGGAGAAGTATGTTGTTGTTAAAATAGAACATATGGTGGAAGAATGATAATGTACCTGATCAAAATTTCATGATTGGTTGATATAGTTGGAGGATTTAGTTAACGTATTTTGACTCTAAGATTCTTATTAGCACAATGGATTGTGTCATCTAAGGGGACTTTATAAATTTAGGTCGTATGTTTGCCTAAGGGGGATAATTGTAAGTCGATGTTCACTAATAGAGGGCTTCATGTCCTATGATTTATAACTCAATGGATTGAGCTAGTAAGGTTTTGGTTATAATTGTTTAATATTGTCTTTTTTGTGACAAGCCACGTGGTCAGAGGGATTTGGTTATGATCATAATTTAATGATGTCATTTTGCGACAAAGTACACAATTAGACAACATATGTCATATTCTTATTCGCGTGATATTTTTTAGAGTGATCATAGAGATGCACTTCATATGACATTAACTCATTATGAGCTTAAGTCATTTAAAATTTTTCATCCCCATCAAACTAATGTTTAGGGTGGATGGATAGTTGTTTTAAGCTTTTGAAGCAACAATCTTGGATAAGCTATTTAGATTTTGCAATTATTACACATATAATTGAAGAGCCACAATTTTTTTTTTTCAAATTTAACATATACATAAATCAGTTCTTATTTATTTTCATTTGATTTTCTTCTTATGTTAATGAATTTTTCTCTTTCAGTCATTTATTTCTCAAAAGATTTACATAAAATTTAAGTTTAACAGTTTGAGTTTACATAGTAAACTCAGTTGATAATCACGTCTTGTAGTATAACAATTAAACATACATAAAAACAATCACGCTCATTTGTCTTTCTTATATAATTTGCATTTAAATAACATTAATATATTGAAGATTCTTATCATATGCCTTTCAAATAAATTAATTTTTTCTATTTCATTTATTCATTTTCCTTTTTTCATTTATTCATTTTTCCTTTTCATTTAGTACAATAGCACTGTCTAAAATTTTGTACCATTGAAGGTATAACCATTTTGCATTTTTTTTCCATTTAATGTGCATGGGTACGTTGCGTCTCCCTAGCCAGTATCATAAGACGGTGAACCTCTGTTTACATGCATACACATTTTTCTTCTTTTAATACTTTCATTTATATGTTATAAATTATTTTATTCGTTCTAGTTTTCTTTACATATATTTAATCAATATATGCACTTTTCATACACATATATTTTCATCTTATATTATAACTTTTATCATTTTGGACACAATAGACATTCAAACATAAATAAATAAATAAACATGATACTGTATTTAAACTGAAATGAAAAATAAAAGAATGTAATTGCTATATAATAACCATAATCACCAACTTTACTTTTCTCAATTTTATTCATTCTATAACATTTCATCAACATATAAACTACAACATGATAATTGCAATAAAATAAAAAGAAATCGTAATTGCTATGAAACATTATAATTACCCAGTTTGATTACTTTTGTGCTTCAATTTCTTCAAAATTCTTGAACTTTGATATAGCGTCCTTAATGCAATAGCTAGGGTCACATACTAAATTTCATTATAATTATTAAATTCCTTCCTGTTAACATAAAAGAAATTCACTTACTTTTCACTAATAATAAGATAGTTGAACACTCTTCTTCTTCTTCATTGCATTCTACTCCTCCAAACCAACTGAACAAACCTTTCTTTATGTGAGAAATTATATTAGTCGACTATTAATTTTCTAAAAATGATCAAGAGATAATTATTCTTAAATTATAATTACCTCGATAAACCCACCCTCTTTCCTTCCTCTTTGAATCGAGACTCTCAACCACTAGATTTCTTTCTATTTGAATTTCTTCCTATTGGACAATCGCATTTTATTACTTTAGTTAGAATAGTCAAATTTTATAAAATTTTGTCTATAAATTTTAACAGAAAAATAAGAAATTAAAATCACTTATACTTTCTTTGTCGTTAGAAAAGAAGAAATTTTCAAACCCAAATTCCTTTCTCTTTCTCTCCTAATTTTCTTCATTTGCCATTAATTATATATTGCTCTCTGCTTAGATTAAAATCACAGAAAAATTTGCATGAAATGAAAATTTGATGGACGAAAATTTGATGGACAAACCTACCTTCTCCTTTTTCCTCTCGGTTAGCCTTTGTTCGTTCCTTTCATTCGTTTGGATAAACTAGACGAAGTGAGACAGAGTTATCTCGTGTGAGGAGTCACTGCTTTTTATTTCTGAATGTTCTACTTCGCTCGCTTGTGCGATTGAACCCACCTACTACCCCATCCACGCTCTGTCTGCTTTCCCGCTTAAGCTTAGGTCCGGTTGAATTGAACCAATCCAACCAGTTATTACATAATTATTATTAGAACACAAAAATTTGAAACTAGATTCAAATTAAATACTAAGTTAAAACTTAAATGCGCCTTAGAGATCAAGACCCAAGGATATCTTATTGTCACTATGACGTTCTTCAAAAGAATCATTGTAGTTTATGTCAAAATCATCTTCTAAATCTTTAATTATAATATTTTTTCTTAGCTCCTATATTAGTTAATATAGAGTTAAATATAATCTAAAATAAAATTACAAATTAATAACATAAAAATAATCCATTATATTTAAGATTACCTTTAGATTTTTTTTTGTAGTTCCAATCTCATTTTGTTTCTTCCTTCATATGCTTGAGGAGTAAAGTTGCTCCCAATCAATAAAAGGAGTAAAGTTGCTCCCAATCAATAAATTTTTCAATGTCAACATTGATTTCTTTATTCTTTATAAGTCATTAATGAGGAGGAGAAAGAGCGAGAGAGAGAGCTCGGGAGAGGAGAGCCGCGAGAGAGAGAGAGGGATCGTGAGGAAGAGAATTCGGGAATGAGAGAGTTAGAGCGGAGAGCTGTTAACACGACGTAGAGGGACATCCGATCGTGCGAGGTCGTGGGTGACGACGTGCTGAATTCGGCGCTCGAACGTGGCCGGACAGGTATGAGATTATTTTATTTTATTTTATTTTCTTTTTGTTTTATACAGCAGGTCAACAATTTGATTGCTCAATTAACCTTATTATTTAATTTTATGAAAGATTGAAATTTATAAACAATCTTAGAAAATCAATAAACTTGTACGTAAGCACGGAGATGATGTGAAACGTACATGCGAAAATGACTTTCTTAATGAATTTGCACGCTTAATTTTTAGAGTACAATAATTAAATCTTTGCATTGATTTTGAACGACAAAAGAAAACACAATGAGCGTTAAGGCAAGTTTAGGCTAAATTACATGCATAGGAGTTAAGATCGTAAAATAATCAATTTAATCTAACAATACATACATGGATGGTTTCAATGAGAGATCCCTAGATTAACAGCAAGATTAGTCACTATGATAGAATCGCTCACCCAACTCTCTAATTTCTAAAGCTTTAGCGGAGAGTAATTAACAAGCTTCTTATAAATCAATTAAATCACATAGTAGGTTAACTATGAAGATAAGAGACTAGGGAAAGAGTTCACCATTATCAAGCACTAGGTAGTAGTTGGAAGCCTCAGATCAGCAACCTCATTAGTCTCCAAAGTTAGGACAACAATCTAGAATGAATAAGGAGTTCTTGGCAGCAGTTGGGGGCCTTCCCGTTAAAGGTGTGGTGCAGGGGAGCCTGCTGAACTATGTGGACAACAACTTTGGACAGCAGTTTGGCAGCTTCTGAGTGGTTGACAGCAAGCGAACCTGACTTGGACTCCTTGGACAGCAATCGTAAGGCCCTGGGGGGCAGCTTTCTAGGTCATAAATTTCAGGGCAACACTTGGAACCAATCCAGATTTTTGGGCAGCAAGTGGAAGGAGGGGAAATCAATGACTTTCCTCTCCGGGTTGCACATGAACTAAGGGATTTTAGTGGGGAATCCCGTGGGCAGCTGTGGGAGAAAAAATTTGGGATCCAGTACTTGCTTAGGTGGCCAATCTAATTAAATTCAGATTAAGTGAAATTGGCGGGATGAATTTGAATTTGAATTCAAATTCAAATTGAGAGAATTAAAGTGGAAGAGAAAGATTGGGGAGAGGGAAGGCAGCATGGGGAGGTGATTAAGGAGTCTTAATTGGGAGTATTTAATTGAAAGTGGAGAGAGAGAGAGAGAGAGGGAAATATTGTGTCCACATTCAACGAATGTGGAACAAGACATTAATTGCAAGTGGGAATTAAATCTGAGATTTATTTCATATTTAATGTGATTTGACGGGATTTAATTTGAATTTTGAATTTAAATTCAAGTGGGATGGAGCCTTAATAGGAAGCAATAGGATTTAGCCCATTAATGGGTGGCCGGCGGCATCATGAGGCGAGGATGAGCATGGGGAAGATTTTAATAAGTTTCCAAACGAGGTTTGCCTCATAGGAAAGAGAATAAACAACCCTCTTTCATTTAAAATTAAATCGGATTGAAATTTAAAAACTTTCCTTATTGGCAAAGTTCCAAATAAGGAAAGTATTTGAAATTTGAATTTCAAATTTTAAACAAGAGTCATTACTTTCCTTTTCCATGGAGCTAATTTAGGAAGGGAATTATGACGATTTAAATCATCATAATTGAGGTGGATCCAATGGGGAGACCGGCGGCAATGGGGGTTTGGGGGGATGACGTCGGGTATGAGGAGAGGAGAGTTGATCCGCCGGTTGGAGAGGGGAATTTGTTGCTTCTAGAAGGTAGGATTGGAGTCAGGGTGCATGTAGTGGTGGAGCTCGGTAGGAAGGCGGTTGTTGGATGGCGGGTATGGAGAGGAAGGTGGGTAGGGAAGATGCAAACTAAAATAAAGAACTAAGAACTCATAAAGAGATCGTAAAACCGCGAACCTTGGACTCCTCCAAAGGTTGACGGGTATTGCTTTCACCCACCTAGGGTCTCTCCTCCCATGAACTCACTTAGAGATCAAGCAAAGAAAACAAAATTTCATTCAATATTCATCATCATTCATTACTAGAAAGCTAGCCTATAAATAGGCCTCTTGAAAAGAAAAATAGCAAAGACTAAAATGCCCTTCGGGATACAATACCACATGATCACTCCTAAGGGTAAAATGGGAAAAACAGTAATATAAGATAAACTAGTACATAAGACATAAAAAAAACTCTAGATCGCAGTCGTTGATCTTTTGATGTCCTCATAAGAATCAGTAGTGAATTTCCATACACTTAGGTTATTTGAATAAAAGACTATTAAATAATACAGGCTCCGAAGAAATAAAGTAGGTGGCAGTTTGTTGCAACAGGAATTTGCAAAGCTTGAGTATTTGATGATGAAATAGACTCTCAATTAAGAGATACATTATCAAGATGCAAACATCAAATGATAACTTTAAGTTCTCAAATAGAGAGTAATTAACAAGCTTCTTATGAATCAATTAAATCACATAGTAGGATAACTATGAAGATAGAGACTAGGGAAAGAGTTCACCATTATCAAGCACTAGGCAGTAGTTGGAAGCCTCAGATCAGCAACCTCATTAGTCTCCAAAGTTAGGACAGCAATCTAGAATGAATAAGGAGTTCTTGGCAGCAGTTGGGGGCCTTCCCGTTGAAGGTGTGGTGCAGGGGGGGAGCCTGCTGAACTATGTGGACAACAAATTTAGACAACAACTTTGGCAGCTTCTGAGTGGTAGACAGCAAGCGAACCTAACTTGGACTCCTTGGACAGCAATTAGAAGGCCCTGGACAATAGCTTTCTAGGTCTTAAATCTCAGGGCAACACTTAGAACCAATCCAGATTTCTGGGCAGCAAGTGGAAGGAGGGGAAATCAGTGACTTTCCTCTCCGGGTTGCACAGGAACTAAGGGATTTTAGTGGGGAATCCTGTGGGCAGCTGTGGGAGAAAAAAATTGGGATCCAATACTTGCTTAGGTGGCCAATCTAATTAAATTCAGATTAAGTGAAATTGACGGGATAAATTTGAATTTGAATTCAAATTCAAATTGAGAGAATTAAAGTGGAAGAGAAAGATTGGGGGAGAGGGAAGGCAGCATGGGGAGGTGATTAAGGAGTCTTAATTGGGAGCATTTAATTGAAAGTGGAGAGAGAGAGAGAGGGAGGGAAATATTGTGTCCACATTCAACGAATGTGGACCAAGACATTAATTGCAAGTGGGAATTAAATCTGAGATCTATTTCAGATTTAAGGTGATTTGACGGGATTTAATTTGAATTTTGAATTCAAATTCAAGTCGGATGGAGCCTTAATAGGAAGCAATAGGATTTAGCCCATTAATGGGTGGCCGGCGGTATCATGAGGGGAGGATGAGTATGGGGAAGATTTTAATAAGTTTCCAAACGAGGTTTGCTACATAGGAAAGAAAATAAACAACCCTCTTTAATTTAAAATTAAATCGGATTGAAATTTAAAAACTTTCCTTATTGGCAAAGTTCCAAATAAGGAAAGTATTTGAAATTTGAATTTCAAATTTTAAATAAGAGTCATTACTTTCCTTTTCCATGGAGCTAATTTAGGAAGAGAATTATGACGATTGAAATCATCATAATTGAGGTGGATCCAATGGGGAGACCGACGGCAATGGGGGCTTGGGGGGATGACGTCTGGTATGAGGAGGGGAGAGTTGATCCGCCGGTTGGAGAGGGGAATTTGTTGCTTCTAGAAGTTAGGATTGGAGTCGGGGTGCATGTAGTGGTGGAGCTCGGTAGGAGGGCGGTTGTTGGACGGCGGGGGTATGGAGAGGAAGGTGGGTAGGGAAGATGGAAACTAAAATAAAGAACTAATAACTCACAAAGAGATCGTAAAACCGCGAACCTTGGACTCCTCCAAAGGTTGACGGGTATTGCTTTCACCCACCTAGGATCTCTCCTCCCATGAACTCACTTAGAGATCAAGCAAAGAAAATAAAATTTCATTCAATATTCATCATCATTCAATACTAGAAAGCTAGCCTATAAATAGGCCTCTTGAAAAGAAAAATAACAAAGACTAAAATGCCCTTCGGGATACAATACCACATGATCACTCCTAAGGGTAAAATGGGAAAAACAGTAATATAAGATAAACTAGTACTTAAGACATTAAAAAAAAAACTCTAGATCGCAGCCGTTGATCTTTTGATGTCCTCGTAAGAATCAGTAGTGAATTTCCATACACTTAGGTTATTTGAGTAAAAGACTATTAAATAATACAGGCTCCGAAGAAATAAAGCAGGTGGCAGTTAGTTGCAACAGGAATTTGCAAAGCTGAAAAAGAATGCTGAATCATACAACAGGACAGGAAATATAAGGACCACAAATTTAGCAGGGATTACTTGGCAAAGCATGCATTTAGGAAATGTAAAGGAAAGGCCTCGGATTCAGCAGGGAGAAGTAGCAGACGACTGTAGCTCATGGATTTCAGCAGAGAAATTTATGGAATGATCCTTTTAAATTTAAAACATTGAAGTTATTACTCCTTAGGATTGTCTAGATTCCTAATATGATCTTGGAAACTCTCTATATAAATATCTCTTGAATGTATTATAAACGATTAAACTTTTTAGTCATTCCTCTAATTTTAAGAGAGATCCAAATTATTGGTGAATAAGAGAAAACCTAATTCATCTTAAATCCTTGGTAGTCATCCAAACATTTGCAGTTTGCAGTTTGGTTAAATTTATACTCAAAAGAATCAGTATACTACTATACTATGGATGATTGTAATATATTGGCTAGCAAAGTAATTTCTATACTATATGGTTTTCAATTTTCATGCCATAAAGAGAACTTGGTTCAATCGTACTCTACATCTATGTGAGAGGAAAGAGGGACTCATTCACTATTAAGAAGTCACAAGGTGTACAAATAAAGCAGTTAAAAAAAATACTCATCCCTAAATCCAAATACACCGAATGTCACTGCTGAGAAGCCCCAAATCTCTTAAAAGATCATCTGAAAGCTCCTCAAGTATTATACAATGTAATTACACATCCATCATGCAATGCATATGAGATAAAACCGCAACAATTTTTTTGCTCAAATCTATTTGTCTAAAAACCAACTTCTATCTAAAGCATTGAAACCATGCTAAGCACTGTCTTTATGTGAACGTCTTTCTACTGAGATCCTATCCAACAAGTGGGTCCCATGCAAACGGCTGAACTTTTCTTTTTATTAAAGTTGTATTCAACTAATTGAATATGTCTAAGCCGGCTCAGATAAACCACTGATGTGGATACCTTGCAACTTACAAAATCCTGTGCAATGGCTTTAACTAAAATTCAATCCGGCTTACATACATGGATTATTCATCAAGCAAATCAACAATTAAAACAACTTACATGAACAAAAGATAGCCAATATCAAAATTTCCAAAGGTGAAAGCCTCAAGCGGAAAATTGATGCAGTATTTAAATGAATCTGTGAAATATACCACACTGCTCAATTTAGAATTTTTACCTAAAATTCATGAGGAACAGATCATAACTTGTTTTAAGTATATGCAAAAGGATATTTCAAAATCAATAGAGTTGTAGAAAAATCCTATATGATATTCTTACATTATCTGACCTAGGCCATTGCAAGAATTGTACTATTCTGCAAATAATGCCAGCTTTTGCATATCTTACCTTTTCTTACCTGAGAATTCTTCGAACAAAATGTGAACTTTGGTAAATCTTTTTGGTTTACCTTGTTTATCTGTAAGCACTCATTTCCTGTTTAACTTTTTACTAAATTTGAGATAATGAATAGCCAAATATTGCCCATAATTCTCCAGTTTACATTTTCCGTTGGTTTAATTCCACTGCAGTTCATGCATCATTTTTATTTCAAGCAGGAGACAATATTGAGTAATACTTTGAACCATCTGCTCCATAATGCTGAAAAAATACTTAGCAAAGCCCTGTATACGGAATCTAAGGCTACACATTCTGGGATTAAGCTTGATACGGAAATGTCTCAATCAGTGAGAACCAGGCATAAAGCAGCTGCAGCGAGTGCATCAAATCAAACTGATGGTAATTTCTATTTACTTTGGAATAATCCGTAGGATATAATGACACTTGCTATTTAAATGTGGTTTAACTTTTTGGTTTTTTTTTTTCCTTTGAAGAAGCATATAAAAACTTGTAAGATTATATAACCAGGTACATTTAGAAGGTTTTTTATTTTGGGATTCTGTAAAACTATTTTTTAAAGTGTAGGACTTGCATGGCCAGCTTAAGCATGGTCCTAAACATGATTGGCCTTATACTTATCTTGATTGAAAGAATTCAAATTGTTGTTTTACCTTGGCCCATTATTGTTAATTTTTATTTTAAAATTAGAATTAGATGAGAGGAGAGTAATAGGAGATTTTATGATTGCATTTTATTCCTTTATTCTACATATTAAAGATGAAAAAAAGTTGTGTTAAATAGGTAGAGAAACAATTGAAAACAAATTTAGAAATCAGTCATTAATTTTGGAATGTAGATTTAACTACATTACATAAAAGGAAAATTTGTGTCCACAGATTGTTGAATTTTTGTAGATGAAAAGTTGTTCACATATTGTTGGGTTGTTATAGATGAAAGTCTTATTTATGGATTGCTTTAGATGAAAAGATGCTAGTCGTGGATTCATGATTATTTCAATACTCCTCAAGTTGGGTTTTATATATTGATCATACTTAGCTTATTCATTACATTATCAAAAAAATTTTAGATAAAACCTCAATGAGGATATTTGCAATTTGAGTGTTTTTTGGAACATAATTGTTGAGATAGCCCATTTTCATTTTTTTTAAGATGAAATGTTGGTCTACCTCAATGTGTTCAGTCTTGTCATGTTGGATAAGATTTTTTTTTCAATACTTGTGTCAGTTGTTAGACAAAATTTTAAAGATTTTTCTATTTTATAGTTTTTTGTTCAAATGGCTTTCTTAATCATATTGTTTAGCAAAGACCAAGTGTCACTATCTGATATACATCTTCAATGTTGATTCTTGAGATTATAGATTATTTCTTACTTCTCCATATGACCAGGTTTCCCATATATAATTATAATAGCCAAAGGTGGATATTTTGTCTAACGCATCTTTAGCCCAATCCACATATATGAAAATTTTGTATTCTTTGTTGGATGAATTTTGAAATAACATGTATTTTCCTAGTTTCATCTTGAGATAACTTGGAATGTGATTAGAAGTTTTCATGCGATCTTTAATAGGGTTGTTCATATATTGGCTTACATTAATAGAAAACCCAATATTAGAGTTCGGAAGAGAGTGGTTTTAAATGTAAAGTATTATTGACGGCTTTCTATTAATGAGATATATAAATTTTATGATAGCTTCTCACAAGAGATAGATTTGGAGGGCATCAATGATTTAGCAACAACTAAAAATTGTTTATTTTTTCTTTCAGTACCCCTTTTTATTGAGAGGTGTCGATGCGGGAGCTTTGGTGGGTAATATCTTTATTTTGAAGATAATTTTTAGGGGTGTCCAAATGAGTTAACTGGTACGGTTTGGGTCCGACCTTAATCTAGTCAACCTAAGTCCAACCTATTTAATAAATGGGTAAAAAAGATGAACCCAAACCCGATCCACTAGCAAATTGTATGACTTGAACCCGACCAGTTAACCCGTTTTAGTTAAGAAAATTTTTTATAGCTTATCAACTACACAATCTAGGTTATTTGATAACAAATAAAAAGATCGTATCCACAAGCAAAATAATTTAAGGAAAAAAATATAAATGAGTCCTTTTTGGATCAAAAGAGAGTTTGCTGGTTAACCTGAACTTGGCTCATTTAATTAATATGTCAAAATTTTGAACTCGAATATGACCTCTTTATTAGACGAGTCATCCCAAAGCTTGATTTTTTAGGACGTGTTGGTAGATCCAATCATTTATTGACACCCCTAATAATTTTTAAAAGATCGATTAATTTTTTTTTTTTGTATCATCAGTTTTAAGGCCTTGGATTTTTTATTAAAAATTAAATGAGGATCTTGTGTTGAAATGCTTAAAAATTTGCCCCACTTTGAATTTTTTTTTCATTAAGAAAACTTAAGTATGCCGGCGGGTATGATCCTTGATGAATGAAGTAAATCATATAAGTTCAAATACAATTTTGACTCTTGATAGTTCTTACACATTATTGTGTATTAAAGTAAAGATGTTGAGAAGGATTGTAGGTTTGACTTCAAGAGACTATGAGTGTGTTTAAAAATTTATATTTTATGATGAATTTTTTCATAAAATGCATAGAATTCGTAACGCAAATGTAAAACAAGATATGCTGATGAATTTTGTAGTTGTATATTCATTCAACTATTTACGTAGCAAATTTTGAAATGATTTGTCACAACCAAAATTTATTGCTCTGGCATCCCTTATAGATTCAAGTCTAGTTTATTCCAATCATTGTGTGGAGGAGGATCAAACTTGAGATGTGGAACTTACGACTGTCTTGTAGGCATAGCAACCCACATAAGAGCATTATACATTTATTTTGATGAATTTGATCTTTGAAAGAGGGTTTGTAGATTTTCAAAGCGATTGCACACTTTTCAAAAATATTTGTATGATTCTTAGAGTTGAATGAATTTGCACGCTTTTGAAACGAGAGAATTTTAGTTTGACTTATTTTTTACTCTTGTAGTTTTCTGATTTTCAAACTAGTAGTTAAAATATTTATCAGAGCACATGCAAGCGATTTTGATTTTTATGCTCATGCATGCTTCTCAGTGCACTTGTATGATGAATTTGCATGTTTCTTGATACACTTACATTATGTACTTGCATTTTTCTTGTTAGCATATTTATTATAACACAATTTTTTTCTATTTTTCATTTGTTCTCCTTTTTCTTTTTTGTTATTTTGTGGGAAATAGAGAGAGAAATGGGGGGGGGGAGAGGAGAAGGGAGAGAAATAGAGCGGCGGTGAGAAAGTTAGAGATATAGAGAGAAAAAGAGGGAGAGAATTAGGGAGGAATATAGAGAGAAGTAGAGAGGAAGAGAGTTAGAGAATGTGAAGAGAGGGGAATAGATAGAAAGAAAGATAGGGTGAGGGGGATAGAAAGATTGAAATCGTTGTCAACGACAAGTAGGTCGAGCATGTGCTGGGTACAAATGGTTGTCGTGGCTTCGTGACTCAAGTAGCACAAGATGAGAGGAGGTGCGTGTTAGGTACTGAGCAACAAGATTGTAACCGGGACTTGTGAGCACTGAGTCACGAGAGAAGTTGAGGGTGTGTTAAGGAGAGGGAGAGCGAGAGAGAGAAGGAATAGTCGGGTTTTATTCCTTTTTTTTATAAAAGTGAGAGCAGGATGGTTCCCACGCTATTGAATGAGGTGTGTACAAGATGAGGGGGATGAAGTGGGGAGGATGGGAGAGTTGAGGGAATTTTACATTTTTTTATAATGATAATAATAAGTATATATAATACGGGTTTAATAAATGACCCAACCCTAGCCTGACTAAAAAAATATGAGTTCGAGTTGACCCAAGTAAGTTTTGGGACAAGTTCATGTTAGAAATTTTGTCCCCATTAAATTTTTATTCAGATTCGAATTGCTCGAAAAATTGAAAGACCCAATTATCATTCGGGTTTGTGCTAAATAGGTCGAGTTTGAGTTAAACGAGTCATTTTGCGATTAAATTTGTTATATTTTGGTTAATTGGGTTGTGCTAATAAAAAAGTTATAGTATATATATGATAAATGGGTCAAAATGGTTAAGTTCGGGTTAGTGTAGTTCAAGTCTAACATTTTGACATAGGATAAACAAGTCGGATCAATTTCCGTTCAAACCCAACTTGCCAACCCAAATTGATGCACCTAATATATTAATTGATTGATTTTTTCTGCAAAAGTTTCATCACTTAGGCAAATCAAAATGATGTCATCTGCTTGCACGTGTGAATCGTTTGATTTTTTTACATGCAACGACCTAATTAAAATAGTCATCTACTTTAGATGTATTTGCTATACAAAGTATGTCGACGGAGTTTGTTTTGTGAATGGGCGATGTTCAGTCAATTTTAACTTTTGGTTTGTGTTTTAAATAGCATTGGTGCGATGCCGTGATTCACTTGTTTTTGTTGTATTCAATCGGGTCGACCTTGGAATGCTTATTGAGGTCAATACTTCTTTCTATGAGGGCTCTTAACATATATTTTTGCTACTCTTCTTAGACATATTAGCTTTTAGTGTTTGTGAGGAACTCGTTAGTTTGGCAAAGAGGCTCCATGGTGAAGGATTACACTTTTATGAAAATTACAATAAGAAGAGAGGATAGTGAAATGGATGATTTTATGACCAAATTTTATTTCTTTATTATGTTTTAGTAAAAGGATTATAAGAAATTGGACATAAATATTTAGAGAAACAATTATCTAAGAAATAAATAAAATTGGAGATCATTATTTAATTTTGAAATCCATAATTAATTACATAATATAAATAGAAAGCTACAGCCCATTGATTTTTGGATTGCTGCATATGAAAAGTTGTTGTCCACATTTTGTTGAAGTATTATTGATGGAAATTTACTGACCGTAGATTTAGGATAGCCTAAACATTTTGGGTAGCTTGAATGAGTCGGGTTTTACTTGACATCTATTGGGTGTAAATGAGTTGTTCTTTGGCCTATGTTCAACCATCCAGGCATTGCCGCTATTGTTTTTTTAACAAGGTTTAGGCTTGTCTGTATGCTACAACAAGATTAAATTCATAAATCAATGCAAGTCAACTTTGGCGAAATAAATGGTCCAAAGAAGATGGGTATATCGAAGGATTGATAAGATTCCTTGGTAAAATATTCAGGCCTCAAAAGCTCATTTTTTTAATAAGCTGGAAATGAAATTTATATTTTCTTAAGGGGTTTTTTGGTCGGAAACTTTAGGATTGTATTATTCATCCCTCTTGTATTTCAATTTTTTTGGTGTTTGGTTGGAAGCAAATGGAATGTAAAGTAAAATGTTGAGGGATATAAAATGCCTAAAAACCCTTGTTCATTGTTATTTATAAATCCCGTGTTGGGGTTGCTTGTGATTCTAGTTTGATCCGCCCATCACCACCACTGCATTTGAAATGTATCATAAACACAAGAAAGAATTTCAATGCATTTGATTTACATCCAACCAATCAGCCTCTAAATGAAGTTCTCTTGGGTGACTTTGTTCTAGAAGCTGAAGAAAATGGAATTTTCAGAATGAATCAAAGGAAAATTGGCCTTGTTAATTCTCTCAAAGTGGCTCAAGTTGCAAGATGATAGTTGAATGGTTATTACTGTAGTTTTTTAGCTTGCTCCAAATGTTTTTCTCATCAACTTAAACGAGTAAAGATATTTACCGTTCAACTTCGGAATGCTTAATATCAAGCCTAAATATCTCGTTCAGATGTGTTAATTTGTTCAATATTCTTATAACCTGCTTCTGCTTCTATTGAGTTAATGGTTGACAAGGTGCTAAGCTGCAAAAAAATTTTAAAAATGTTGTTTCCTTTACTTTTTTTGTTAGCCGCTATGGAACCTTTTTCTTGATGAAATTGTTTCTAACTACATTGTCTAATCAATTAAGATTTTCATTTTCAAGATTTTGTATTTTAATCTATTTTATTCTCCTCTCCTTTCAGGTTGTGAGTTCAAACTTGATATACCAGAAGCAAAAGGCATAGAAAATGTCATGAAAATGTGCACATCTATTCTCAGATTTATTTCTGATATTAAAACCATGAACCTAGTTGGACAAAATGATATATCATGCTTGAGGTTTGCTTCAGCATATGCACGTTACGTACTTTCGTCCATGGGGGGTTATCGGCGTGAAGTTTTGTCTTTTAAAGAAGATGATCTAAAAGAAGCTTTTTATTGCCTGAAGAGCTCATTTACATATGCAGCTAAGTTGCTTCATCTGGTGCTTCAATGCTCCAGTGAATTTTCAACTGTACCAATCGAGGCTTTCTATCTTTCCAATGACCTTCTAGATCTCATTACTGCCATAGAACCTTATTTTGGCATAAAACTTGCCTTTCAAATGGTATCTGTTGTGAAGCCATGGCTTCCTGTTCTAATACTTGGCGTGGGCTGTAACCAACTAATTAAATCTAGGGAACAGGATGGTGAATCAAAAATCATCGGACCTAGTAGGCATCATTTCCCAACATGGCTTGCTGTCTTAAGTAAGGCAGAACTACATGAAATCAGCAAGGTCAGTTCTGAGGAGAATGATGATCAGATTTCTGAACCAGAGGGGTCTGTTTTCACAAAATTAATTTGGATGGCAGTGGTTATGCTAAAGAAAGGAAGCCTTAGAATAGTGGATGCAATCGGTTGTGTAATACTGGTAGGTGTGGATGTTGGGCTAGACACAAAGGATTTTGGCTTACTCCTAGGTCTTGTTCATTTTATTTGTGTGAAGTTGCTGGGTAAGGAGTTCACTTCTTGGAATGAGCTTGAACAAATGACTTCTTACTTGCAAGAGATTTATCCACGGATTGAAAATGAGATTGCAAATCCCTGTCTAAGTGACGATGAAAGAAAAAAGTTGGAGACTGCTAAGACACTGCTTACATCTTTATGCTTGAATAGAGGATGAAATTTGTCTTTAGAACTGTGGTAATCACCGCCAAGGTTCAATTTGATAAATGAAAATTTCTTGAAAACTCGAGGTTACATTTTGGCCTCACTTTTCCTTTTTGTTTATAAATTTACTAATATAAATTATTGACTGATTTCCTACAGGTATAATTGCTTATGGCCTATTAAGAAGACTTCAATTGTAGTGGATAAGGTTAGTCTGATCTGTCTTCCTTGGTTACTTTGCAAAAGGTCTAGTTTACATCAACTATACTGAATAATTTTTAATCCTCAAGCAACTGTTAGAAACTGATAGTTGATTCCGTTGCATTAACCTTTCATGAACGTATTGTTGTGTACTGGGTAACGTGGGCCATTCTGATTAGCTTCCGGACGGGTCCGTGTCCGCATAGAATAATTTCTCCCCTCGTGCACCTTAATAGCGGCGGTTTTTGTGAAAAGCTTTTCAAAAATATTTCTACCAATGTCGAGTGGTCATGCCAATGATGTTTTAAATCAGTCATGATTATAATCTTTAGGCAATATTTTGATATTATGCTGGCCATCTCTTTTCTTCAATCACCAACATTACAGTTACTTCATTGCTCTACTCTTGCTTAATGATTTCATTTGCATTAATATCCAAAATGGAGAAGGGCATTATAGGGCAACAAATGGGGGCTTCTTTTCTCAAATCATAGGAGCTTTTTCATTTGCATTAATATACTAAAATTCAGTCAGTTTTCATTCCAATTAGATGAAGTTGTTTGTCTTTGAAAATGTCATTGAGATGTGGAGATGACTTAGGCTTCTATTGATTGTTTGGTACTTTTTGTAAAAGGCAGATTTAAAAATGTTGGTTGAGGAAACGGAGGTTTCTATCTGAGAAACAAATATCAAAAAGTTCTTCAAAACAGTAGAAAAATTATACTACGTAAAAAACATTTCTACATAAGCGTCAAATACAAATGGCAATCAAAAAATAATTGCGCCATTTCGAAACAGAAATGGTGAAATTAATTCGTCTCAAACGGTGCCTTAAAAAAGAGTAATAAATGCCACATCTTAGTTCAAATGTTATAGAATTTTATTTTGTCATGTATGTAGATGCATGTTTTTGATGTCCTGCATAAAATAAAATCATTATATTATTATATAAAATTTGTTGTTGTTCAATAAATTATTCAAATATATGAGGACTTTCTGAGCACGTTTATCACGTTTTTTTTTTTGTTAAAACTAAGCGCAAAAATTAGTAAAATATTAGAGGTGTTACCCTCCTATGCAAAATCATAGGAAAGGCTTATTTATTTTTTGCATTGTGAGGAGTTTAAGATATCTTGTGATTTTGCCATTGTTTGAAGATAATAAATGCTTCGTTTGGGATTGCTTTTTTAAAATCAGCTTTTT